CAAGTGTTTGATGTTTGTGTTTTTTTTTTTTTAACTGCTTATCACTACAGGGGGCAAAAGCACCAAAGAAGGGGAAGGTCACAAGGTCACAAGACATCTCAAAAGCCTCACAATACAGGTTATACCAATACAGCCTCACCAGATTGTAAATGGAGCCCCCGCCGGCTCAGCTCTCGGTTAGCTGCCTGCCTTATAGACACGGTGCTCTTAACAGCTTGATAGGGAGCGAGCCTCACCAAGCCCACTTTCCCCATCCTCTTGGGCTCCCTCCTCCCAGGTTTCCTTAAAGGGCCAAGCCTCTGTCATTTTCCCAGCAACCTCAGCACCCAGTCCAGGACCTGGCACAGGGTAAATGTAGGTTAAAGTAGCAGAGTTGGCCAGTGTTCAAGGTGATAAGTCCTCGGATGCACAGATGAGATACTCCGGGGCCTCTGAGCAAACGCCAGCCTCTGCCTCACCTCTTTCCCATCACTGGGAGGGCCCCTAGGGTCTCGCTGTTCCCGGCAGCCAGGCTCTCTGCCTGATTCGTCTGTCCCTGAGGCTCCATTGCTCAGCTCAGTGATGATTCAACCTAGAGGGTTATTTCCCCCTGGACTGCTGTTCTTGGAGTGAATAAAGTTTTATGTCCCCTGCTCTTAATTTTAAATATTAGTGAGAGTGACGTGTTATATTTTTCTCTCTGAGGGGGGGAAAAGAAGTAAATTACTTCTTACTTGTATGTGGCCCTCAAATGATTCTTAGCTAAGGAAAAACAAAATTCTTCTTTCTTTTGGGCTAGAAATTTAGGAACACTAGCTATGCATGTCCCAGGGCTTAGTTCAGCATCAGAAGGGTTAACCAGGCAGACCAGGTAGAGGCAATACTGCGAAATGCCAGATAGAAAAGGGTCACTAGGGCCCAGAGAAGAGGCAGAGAGAAGTAGGAAAGAGGAAGTGGGACAGGAAAGGGACCCCCATGTATTGAGCACTAATATGTGCCCATCGTTTAACAAACATTATTTCAATTAACTGACTCCTCACTCCCACGTAGAAAAGTAGACAACAGCATCCCCATTTTGCAGACGAGGACACTGAGGCTGGAAGAGGTAAATTAACTTGCCCACAGTCATGTGGCTGAGCTGGGACTCAAATTCTGGCCTGCCTCACTTCAAAACCCACGTGCTCCTTCCTTGGCATGGCGCTGGGTCGTCAGGAAGCCAGGGGCCAGGTGAGGGCTTGCAGAGGGGCTGAAATGCAGCCAGGCCAGGAGAGCGAGCAGGGCAGCAAGGACTTGCCCAGCACCATGGGGACTTAGGAGGTTGCCAGCCCCTTTGGAAGAGCCTATGCCCTCTCTGCCTGATTGGATAGGCTTTTGTACTCATCATTGGGGGTTTCATGGTGAAACGGAGGGTGGGAGAGGATGTCTAGTGCCCTGAAAGCCCATGGAGGCCTCCTCTCCTCATGGCTGCAGAAACCAGCCTGGACACCAATTCCGTGACAGAAGGCCACCTCAAGAGGAACATCGTGGTGAAGACCGTGGAGATGCAGGATGGAGAGGTGAGGAGGGTGGATCCCAGATTCTGGCCCCGGCAGACTCTGGAAGAAAGCTTGACTGGCACATAGAAGGTTGTTGATAATTCACAAAGAGCTCCTCTGGGAGGCTCTGCAAGAGGGGAAGGAACCCAGATGTAATTCATTTCCCCAGCCCCTCCACTGGCAGTTCTAAGGGGAGCCTGGGTGCCTAGACCACTGGATGGGGTCCTGACTCCAGCTTTCTCCCTGTCTCACCCTCAGACTCAGGTGCCCCCATGCCAGGCCTGGGGGAGAGAGAAAGAAAATTAAAGTTAGTAGCTTTCACTCCCAACTTTCAACTTGCAGCTTGGTGAAAGGAACCTGGCAGAAGAATGGGATGGGGGGATTGGTCATAACCCCCTCCCCATCACACCAGCAACAGTACCAGCTAACCTTACAAGATCAGCTCACCATGTGCCAGGCACGGTGCTAGTTGTTTGCCCGTGTTACCTCATCTCCCCCTCTGACTGCTGCATGGGGGTGTTCCGGCTACTATCATAGAAAAGATGACCCAGGAAGGCGGGGGACTTGTCTAGGTCCATAGCCTAGCTGTGGTGGACCTGGAGTCTGTGTGAGCTCCTAACCTAACTGTGGCACCTTCTCTGTCCCCTGCAGGTCATTAAGGAGTCCAAGCAGGAGCACAAGGATGTGATGTGAGGCAGGACCCACCTGGTGGTCCCTGCCCCACAGTATGAGGGGCCTGCAGCAGGAGTCAGGGTAGTTGCCCCTCCGCTGCTAGTTAATTTCGCCAGACTTGAGTTCCCACCCACCCCAGCTGCTCCTTTTCCCCCTCAGTCTCTATGTCAGCTTGCTGCCCTAGGCTCCATCAGCATTAAGCCTGTCAGACAGCACCCACCCAGCACCCAGCAACTCTAACAGGGCACTCACCCCAAAGGGGCAGCCTGGAGGGGCATGGCCAGCAGCTTGGGTTAGAATTGGAAGGGAGGAGAGAAGTTGGGGAGGGCAGGGAGACCTAATAAATCACCCTCCCTATCCCGAATCCCTGTTGTCATGGCAACTGTTGCCAGAGCTGGAGGTGTCTAGGGGTATCTGGGAATGGGGCCTTTGAATTTCCTCAGGCTGGTGGAGGAAATCCGAGATGCTGAGACAGGCAGGGGGATCCCCACAGGCAAGGAGGCCTTGGCCAGGGGCTTATTCTTCTAGACTGACTCTGACCAGTCTGAGGATGGGTGGGGCTATCCTGCCACCTGGAGTAGTCGCCAGACAGAATTCCTGGCCTGCCCAGATTGCAGAGGGGCCTCCTGAGTGATGGTTCAAGTGTCTCAGCCCCACTGAGCTGCCACGTGGGCATGCCGTGGGCCCGTGGGAGCTTGATTCTCAGCATTTGGGGGAACTACAGTGTAAGTGGTGAGGGAAGGGGTGCTGGGAGGGAGTAGAAGGGGGCCTGGTCCCGAGCTGTGGGCACAGAGAGGTCAAGCCCAGGAGGACTCCCCCCATCCCATACAGGCTGGAGGGGGGCAGGTAGAGATGGTAGAGGAGACGGTTGGGATGAGGCCAGACATGAGAGTGGGGGGGTGCTGTGAGTGAGCAGTTACACTTGGCCTCTGCGTCATGGGAATCAGGAAAGTGACTCATCCTCTTGAAGATGGTGAAACAGGAAAGAAAGAGGCTGCTTTTCCTGGGGGCAGGGCCCACTTTGTCCCAGCTCTAAAGGCCCTTTCCTGGCTGCATAATCCCTGTCCACCCAGGCCTGGGAGCCGCTGCAGCTGCCGCCTGACCCCAGCAAATACTGCTAGGCAAAGTCTCCGCTGCACACCCGACCCCTCCTCCCCACAGTGACCGCTGCTCTTCCCTAAGCCAAGGCCCCTGCTGTCCCCTCGTAGTCAAATACAAAACGTACCCCCGTGTTTTAGGTAGCACCCTATTTTATAATTTGGGAACCCGAGACCCACGCAGAGTGAAGACACTGGTTTGTGTTCCTGTAGCCTAGAGGCAGGACAGCTTGGGGCAGACACTTTCACCCCGAGCACCTGTTCTGCGGTCCACGGGAAGACTGGTGGGCACGAGATGATCAGTGCCCACGAGTGGGGCTCAGAGGCCCACTCCAGGGTCCCCATCTCCCTCTAAGGCAGAGGGAGGGAAAAGTAGGAGTCCCTCCCTCTTTCCAAGACTGGTGCCCTTCCCCTACTCCGTCCTGCCACCCACTGCTGCTAACCTTCGGGGCACGACTGCTGCCTTTAGTCACTGACATAAATAAAGACAACTGCTGTGGCTTTCCCCAGAGTGGACTCTGATCTGTTCGGCAGAGGCTGGGGCTGGGGGAAGGGGGCAGGAAGTAGCCTTGGACAAGACACAACTTGCTTCTTTTTTTTTTTTTTTTTTTTTTTGGTGCGGCGGCCCT